GAACCATACATGGTCTTTCAAAAGGCTGAGATATTCATTTTACAAGGTTTTGTCCTGTTGTGTTCAATGAATATGCTGTATACCCCAAAAGTGTTACTGTTCAAGTTTCAAGAAAACAGAAAAATATGTCTGCATTGATTTGTCTGAATACTATTCTGCTTGAATTGGACCCTGAGCTTGAATTGGATCCACTTATATGAGGATGATTTGAGGGAACTTGAATAGGATCCTGAGCTTCCTGCAGTGCTACTCATGGGAGGTTGAGGGCATGGGTCTTGTCTTGAAGACTGCCAGAGCCCTAGGAAAATCATTGTTTGACAAAGAGCTTGGAAAGCTAATTGGGCAGCTTATTGTCATTTTGTGGCCGGAACGAAACGCTAAGCTCCTCACTGCAGGCACTTGAATGGAAAATACCAATAAATGTTTTATGCACAACTTGTTGTTTTAATTATTTTCTAAAGGATTCAAACCGATTCATCTGTAGAGCAGGATATTCTAAAAATAATTTTGTTGTATTGTTCAGTGCTTACGGGCTCTCACCTGTCAATTCCTTTAGTTTTTGAGTAATTCGGGTTTGATTTTCTCCCAGGCATTTGTGAAAGAAGAGGGGAAAAGTGATACCATTAAGGAAGCTTAAACTGGGAGCGAATACAAAGCACCTTGAGAAATGAACAATTGTGTGATCTTGGGGAGGCAAAGGTACGCTAATTTCTTTTAGCGTAGTTTTATTATAGATAAGAAATTGCATTTCAATCTGCATGAGCTTATGAAATGGAACAATTATTTTGGCCCCTTTTTGCTGCTATGTCAATAGCCACATATTTTGTCGAAATCCAGGAGCACTGCTCAATTTTGATGGCATTTACTTCACCGAATGCAACCTTATTTTTGTTCCCTAATTAATTCTGAGCAAACTCAGATATATGTAAATGTTATATCTCGTCTATCTTTTTTGTTTATTTGTAAATTTTACACAAATCAGTATACATTTATAAAAATGTTCACTATACACAATAGGGAATATCTTTCTTATCGCTTGACCAGGATATTCAGGCAAGACAAAATATTGACATTTTTTGTGGCTCCCATTGCAACGCTTGGGCATTTACCAATATAAGCATAAGACTGAATGTAATGGGTCAGTCGGAAACTGTCAGGGATGCCCCAACTCATTAGGAGATTGGGCAGTAACTGATGAAACACTGCTGGCTTTGAATTTTTTGGTATTGGACGGGTTTATAAAATTTTTGTATTTCTGAAAAGGTGTGGTTCATAAAGTTTTGTGATTGTATTAAAAATCAAGGAAAATTCCTATTTTATATCGTTCCTTTAGCTATAAGTGACTCTGTGTGTGTTTTGACCTGTGGAATCACCTTGGCTGATGATGCTTGTGCTCCCCGCTCCCAAGCATGGGCAGCCTGGCTTATGAATCCCCAAGTTATTTTAGGAGTTTTATCATGAGCACTTTTGCCCTAATTAGTGGGGATGGACTTACAGATGGCACTGGAAAAACTAAGACGAAAAACATGGATACAGAGTATGAATAGCACTAACCATGCTTAGACAGCTGATACAATAATCCTTTATCAAGGTTAGGTTGCATGTCTTCCTCAAACTTCGGCTACTTTGCTTTTCTCTTTTCTTGTTATCTTGGAGTATCTGCGTGGGGTCGACTGTCAATGGTGCTTAATTCTGTGATATTGAGGACCAGAAATGTTTGGTACTACCACATATCTGACGGGTTGGGTTGACTGCACTTTTTTTTGTGCAATGAGACAAGCAGGAGCGACATTTGAAGACTAATTTGAAGAGTGATGCCAACGAATGCTTGAAAGCTGTGTACAAGGACCAAAAGCCACCGTAACACCATGTTGGAAGAAGTTTTGAAATAGTTCTGGAGTTGGACATGGCTAATTTAAACAATTTTGTACACATTTAGTTATTAATTGAAAGTTTCCCATTACCTTGGTACCAGATAACTGAACTTTAGATGCTTTATTGCACTCTTAGTTCAGAGAATGGCAGTGCCATTTCTTCTCGTTGTGATGGGCACAATGATTTGCTCGTTGTCATATGAGAAAAAACTTGTGAGCACGATGCTTTAGCAAAAGAACAACTAAAGCTGAATGGACATAGTGTCGACCTGTGCATCACCTCAACTGGCCATCGCTCTCTGAGGTCGACGGTCTCTGCACCCCTTAGTTTCCCGTGTAGCATGTAGACCGACTCCTTTATGGAAGACAACCGATGTCAGCAAGAGTGAAATGACAGTGATGATGGTGGAATGATAGTCTCATCATGTTCAAAGATTCATTTTTAGTAACAGTATAACACATGTTTAAATTAAAATTTCTATGATTTTATATTGCTCTCAGTGACTGTTAATTTCACAAACTTTACTTTTTAGATTAAATGTTACTTTAACGTCAGTATTTAATTTCACAGTATTATTATCTTATCGTGTGATCCATATCTTTTTTTAACAAAAAATTAGTTATCACATAGCAACGCACGGGCACGCTACCTAGTCTACTACTACACCTGTCTTTTTCCGCCCTTTCAAAATTTCTCCTTTTTATGGCAAGGATCAAAACAATGTCTAATTTTTAATGGCGTTCTCCATAATTTCAATTCTCACCGGATACGCTCTAGGCTCGACTCATTTAGCAAGAAAACTGTGAGCTGCAGCCTTAAAAAAAAAAAAAAGGACAAGTTCAATCCTGACTGTTTGTATATGAAAGCTATTTCCCTTAGTTTGCTGAATCTTTTGAAATTAAAAAGGAAATATTGAGATGGTGGACTTAATTAAATTAAACACAATTTTTTAAGGATAACTGTATTTAAACACGTGTTAACCTACAGATCAAGCAATTTAAAAAGGGTGATACAAAATGATAAGCTGTCAGATAATTTCTCGCCGAATAATTGTCAATTAAGCAGCCAAATCATAGATGGTAGACATTTAGGCCCCGTTTGGCAGGGCTTCTCCAGCGGCTTCAGGAGCCGTTTGGAGCCGTTTTCTGCCAAACGGGGTAAAATGAAACGGCTCCACCGATGAAGCCCCTAAAAACGTGCTCTCACAAAGCTTTGGGGTGGGAATGAGCCAAAAATAGTGGCTTCTCCCGGCTCCTCCTCCAGGCCCCTAAAAACATGCTCTCACAGGGAAGCCATTTTGCCAAACAGTTTACCAAAACCGCCACCGGTGGAGCTGAAGCAAAAAAAAAATGGCTTCACTAGTGAAGTGAAGCCCTGCCAAATAGGGCCTTAGTGTTTGCTTCCCGGGAAGCAGGGCAACATTGCCAAATGGCATAAAGGGAGAAATAAACTAGCTAATGTCCCTTGAGCTGAAACGTAAGAGCAAGTTTAGACACGTGAAATATCTCTATCCTTGTATGAAAGCATTGCATACACACATACACACATCCATCATTAATTCATTATTGAGCGTAATCAGGTTGGTTAATCAAAATCAGTAACACCCACCAATTCTGCAATGCGCCCAAGCAAGCAACTACAGCATGTTCGCTTGGTCGTAAACAATCGTAAATTTTCAGCCAGAACAGTATTTTTCTCTCACACCAAACCGATCCTTTACGGCCTCCTAAACAGTATTTTTCCTTGGAGCCAAAACCATCACCGGCAGACTATTTTATTTCTGTCAGGGGGAGGGGGGCACCAAATTAGGCAGCCAGCAAAGCTTCAATTGTCACCAATCACAGTCAAGGCAAGGAAGCTAGGCTTTTATTTGTTGTTGTGCCAACCCCAGCCTGCAAATCAGAGGCACCCTATGTGCTGTGCTGCAATCTTACATGCATGTCAATGCCATGTTGGTGCCATGCCAAAACTATCTCAGCATCCAGCAAGATATCCATGTCACCAACCCGGCCTATGTGACTGGTTGTGTTACCAAACCATATATGACGACACAAGGAACAAACTTGATGGCCCCACACTCTCTGTCCTTCTCTTCTTTTATCAGGGACTGGGAAATGAAACCAGCAACAAATAATAAATCGAGCAAACAACCCAGAGGCCAAGCAAAGCAAAGCCAGAGGATGCAAATTGCACTGATGCATGCATGGCAGGGGAAAAAAAAGAAATCAAAGGCTGTCAAAGACACAGCACACACTAAGCCCTTGTTTAGTTCTACCCTAAAATTCTAAAAAGTGCTACAGTATCTGTCACATTGAATATTTACGGCCTATGCATGGAACATTAAATGTAGACGAAAAAAAAAACTAATTGCATAGTTTGGTGGGAAATTGCGAGACGAACATTTTGAGCCTAATTAGTTCATGTTTGAACACTAATTGCCAAATAAAAACGAACGTGCTACAGTAGCCCCAAATTCCAAATTCCTGGAACTAAACACGCGCTAACCATTAATCATGAATGGGCCCAATCCTCAGTGCCCCACCACCTCCCGGTTTCCCCTCTTCTCTCTGAGAGTCTGTTTGGAATGTGGGCATTTTTTTTTTCGTTCTGTGTTTTTTCTGTAAAAATAAACTGATTCCTATAAAATTCCTACGTAATTCATGTAAAATTCCTGAAAAGAAATGTGTGCCTCAAAAGCTGAGGAGAGAGAGAGAGGAAAAGGTGAGGAGAGAGAGTGGGAAAAAAGGACAGGAGAGAGAGAGAGAGAGGGTGGGGGAGTATCAAGAAAGAAGAGGCTTTGCATCCAAGCGTGCTCCCCTTGAAGCAACCCTCCTCCGGGCAGCGTCCCTGACCGCACAGGCACAACTCGCACTCGCAACGGAACGGAACGGAGTGGTGGTGGTGGTGGAACCGAACCCGCGCTCGGCGCTTCCCTTCCCTTCTTCCTTGCACCCCACGACGCCACGACGCGACGACCCTGTCCATGTCCTCCTCCTCGTTGCCTGCCTTGGGCTTCCTATATATAACTGCCCTCTTCTCGCACCCTCTCCTCTCCTTTCTCTCTGTGTCTCTCTCTCCCCTCACCACAAGAACTGCAACTGCACAAGGCTCGCGAACGTACGGCTATGAAGACGAGGCGCGGCGCCTACTACTCCTGCCACGCGGCGACCACGGCGCCGGGCGAGGGCCCGGAGGCCGTGCACCGCCGGAAGAGGCGCAGGACGGTGGCCGAGGGGTCGCCGGCGGCTGCCGGTACTCCAGGTGTCCGCCTGGCCGGAGACATGTTCGAGGAGCTTCCTGACGATCTCGTCGTCTCCATACTAAGGGACGTCGCCGCGTCCGCCGGCTCGCTGGCCGATCTCGCCGGCGCCATGCTCACGTACGTCCTCCTCGTCCTGTATAGTATCGTGCATACTGTCTGCTGTCCGGTTCGGCTCCGTGAACCGAGACGTCAGTCGGTGGATGATTGGAGTTCTAATCTGGATGTGATGTGTTTGCGGACGTGTGCAGGTGCAAGAGATTCAGGGAGCTCGGGCAGAGCAAGTTGGTGCTCGCGCGGGCGTCACCGCGGTGCCTCGCGGTGCGCGCCAAGGCCTGGTCGGACGACGCGCACCGGTTCCTGCAGCGCTGCGCCGACGCCGGCAACCTCGAAGCCTGCTACCTTCTTGGCATGGTAAGGCAAGCAATCATTTCGTTGGGCAGCGAATCAATCGTCTTGGCGTCTTGGCTCGGCGTTGGATGGATCGCGCTGATGAACGAAGCTGATGATGATGCTCGATCGATGCAGATTCGGTTCTACTGCCTAGGGGGCAGCCGCGGCTCGGGCGCGGCGCTGATGGCGGCGGCGGCGGTGGGCGGGCACCGCGAGGCGCTCTACTCGCTGGCCGTGATCCTGTTCAACGGCAGCGGCGGCGGCAAGGACGACCGCGACCTCCGCGCCGGAGCCGCGCTGTGCGCGCGCGCGGCGTCGCTGGGCCACGTGGACGCGCTCCGCGAGCTGGGCCACTGCCTCCAGGACGGCTACGGCGTGCGGCGGTCCGTGCTGGAGGGGCAGCGCCTCCTCATCCAGGCGAACGCGCGCGAGCTCCAGGTCAAGGTCACCGCCTCCGCCTCGATGGCAGGGGCGGGTGCGGGCGGCGGCAAGGCGTCGGCGGCGCCACGTCGGCACTCGTGCCTCCTGAGCGACTTCTGGTGCCGCGCCGCGTCTGGGGAGACGCTCGCAGCCAACCGGTTCCTGGTGGACTGGTTCGCGTCGCGGCCGCTCGGTGCCTCGGCGGCGGCAGTACCTGACGGCAACGGCAACCCCGGGACGGCGGCGGCGTTGCCGGAGGAGGACGGCGCCGGCGTGCTGCGGCTGTGCTCGCAGGCGCTGTGCGGGCGGCCCGAGACGCGGCAGCACGAGTTCCGGCGGTGCTCGGTGTGCGGCGTGGTGAACTACTGCTCCCGCGCGTGCCAGGCACTGCACTGGAAGATGGCGCACAAGGCGGAGTGCACGCCCACGGACCGGTGGCTCGACGTCGCCGTGGGCGGCGGCGGCGTGGCGCAGGCCAACGCCAACGCCAATGCGGACGCGGCGCCGTGAAAGCCCCGTGCCATGCGCGCGCGGGCGGGCGTCGTCCGTTTCTTGTCACTTATGTGAGTTAGCCACCCGTTCGCTTGTTCTCGTTCAGAACTACTTTTTAAGCATTGAAACAGTATTTTTTTCAAAAAAAAAATTCAACATATAAGCCAAATTTGAGCATCTTCGCGGTTCGCAACAACAACGTCAGTTTTTACTGCTCCCCCGGCCGGCCGGCCGTTCTCTTTCTCGCCGTCCAGTTCTCCTCTGTACTAGTACCTGTGTACGTACATGGTTGGTTGGCGATGGGCATGGGCACGGCAGGCTGAGGTAAACATTATTGGCAAAAAGCGAGCGGTAGAATATATATACAGGATTTATAAGTAGTGAACGTTTTTCACCGTTGGTCTGGTCCGTGACTGGTGTAAAAGTCGCGAAAGCAGCACGGCTGCCCGGCTCTGCCGTGTCCAGTTCACGGAGGAAGCGAGAGCGAGACGTGACGTGAGGTCGAAACCCCACTTGCTGTCGTTGCCGTTGTGTTGTGCGGTGCTTGCCATGACTGCTTCCCGCTGCGCTGCGCTTTCTGTTGCAAAAGGCGGAGCGAGGGAGAACCGTTCGATGTGGCTTGTGTCCCCGCCTGGCGCCCTGGCCGTGGGCCTGCGTTGTGCTCTCAGCGCCTCAGCCAGACACAGACTTAAAACCGCTGGCAGTGGAACATGCTGTTGGGCGCCCATCTCGCGCCCATGTCTTGCCATAAAACCGCTGCCGGCCTGGGGCCACAGCCATCGCGCCCATGATACAGACGCTTGCTTTATACCGCTTGGTTGCTTCTTCCTCCACTTGCTGGCTGCTGCTCGTTGCCCATGCTTGTTTAGCAGGCCGCCAGGGCCAGGGCCAGGGCAAGCGCCAGTCAGACGGACCAGAGCTGACCGCAGTGATGCATGCATGCATGGCCTCTGATCGGCACTCACATGCACGGAGTAGCTAGCCGTTGGCGTGGCTGGCAGTATATTTTTTCATTTGGCACTAACAAGATGGCCCGGCCCAGGCACGGCACGGAAAAGCACGGCCTGCCCTGGCTAGCATCGTGCCCGTGCCTAGCACAGCCCGGCCGTAGTGCCGTGCCTGGGTCACTAAGTCGGCCTGCAGTGTCGGCCTAGGCACGGCACGGCTAAACAGGCCGGCACGACTGCGGCACTGCTCAGAACCGTTGATCTGCCTCCCCTGCTCATCTCGACTGTTGGATGTGCCCGTTGGAGGGGGAGGGGGTATATAAACAGCCTCGCCCCCATCGCCCCGTATCCCACATAAACCCTAATTCATTTTGAGCACCGCTCTCTCTCTCTCCTATCTCGCTCTCCTCTCTGGCTCTCTCCACTGCGACGGCTCTCTCCTCTCCCGCCTCCAACCTCCTCTCTTCTTCTCCCCATCTGGTGGCCTCTTGAGCCACCGGTGGCTGGCATTGGCACACGGCACGGCATAGTACCCCCCCTTCTTCATGATCTCGCATCGTCGATGTAGCCTCGTCCTCTCATCGTCGTCCTCCTCTTCGTCTCCGTCGATCTCACCGGATGCCGGCTGCTCTGGTGCTCCGGATTCGAATCCGTTGAGGAACCAGAGGGACGGATCCGTGTTTCGTCAACGTCGCCGGCGATTCTGGTGTTCGGCTACAAAGGTAAGCCTAACCCTAACCCTAACTTACTAATCCTTGCTAACCCTAACCCTAGATTTGTACTGACGCTTCTTTTTTGTAGCTGTTGAGGCACCGGGCGCTGGTTACTGACGATGCTCGGCTCCGATGATGAAACAGTTGAGGTCGGCGCCAACGAAGAGAGGCGGTTATGCAGGTTGGCCGGAGATGACGATGAGGATGACCTGCGCGAGGACGCCGAGGAGCTGTTCAGCCGTAGCACTTAGGCTCCCATTGATGTCAGTGATGGTCAAGAAGGCGGGGCAGCAAACGACAAGGAAGGTGAAGAGGACGAGAATAGCGCCAAGCGCTCTCGTCCCTCTACCTCGATAGTGTGGCTGGATTTTAAGAAGCTCTTCAAAAAAAGTCAATGGTAAGAAGGTCAGGTATGCCGCTAAGTGCATCCATTGCGCTAAAGCAATATTCTGCTCTCTCTAGTGGTGGCACTGGTCACCTCATTCGGCATAGGGATAAATGCCCCAGGAGACGTGAAAAAAATCACATGTCTCAGTCTCAGATCTCTTTTAATCCTGATGATAGTATGCGTAATTGGGAGTACTGTTGTATGGTTGCACGTACTGAACTTGTTCGATTGCTTGCTAGGCTAGATGTTCCTATCAGTATGGGTGAAACTGATGCATTTGAATAATACGTTAGAACTGCTCATAATCCTAAATATGTTTCTGTCTCTAGGCAAACCACCACTAGAGACATGGTTAAATTTTTCAGTGATCGCAAGGCTAAGCTTGTTGAGAATCGTAGTTCTTCTTCTGTTAATTGTGTGTGTTTAACCTCTGATATTTGGTCTGGTAATGCCAAAGAGAACTATCTTAGTGTTGTTGTTCATTACATAAACTCTGATTAGCAACTAGAGAAGAGGGTGCTTGGTCTTGTGCTTATTGATGTGTCCCACAATGGACAAAACATTGTTGGCCGTGTTGTATCTGTGTTTACTGATTATGGTTTGACTAAAAAGGTGTTTGCTGTTACTTTAGACAATACATTATCTAATGTTTCTGTCATGCATAAACTTAGACCTGTGTTGTCTAAATATCTTGGTATTGAGGTTGTAGATGATCCTGTTGAATCACAATCAGACAATGTATCATCCCTTATTGAAATTAATTCAATGTTCTTGCATCAGCGTTGTGCATGCCATATTATCAATCTAATTGTTAAGGAGGCCCTTGAGGCTCTTAAGCCTTTGATTGAAACATTTAGAACTGCAATATTATTTTTAAACTCATCTAACCAGAGAATTATTGTATAAAAAAGTTATTGTATTGCCACTGGTGTTAGGCCTAGAAAATTTCAGCTAGACATGGAGGTAAGGTGGAATTCTACATATTTGATACTTAAACATTTGTTTTTCTCATAAGGTCTCATTCACTACTTTCATGCATGCTCATTATCCTAGGATTGAAGGTGGTCCATTGCTTTTAACTGATGAACATTGGGCTATGGCAAAAAAAATGCTTAAATTTCTTGAATTATTTTATGATTCTACAGTTGTATTGTCTGGTGTGTACTATCCTACATCTCCACTTATGATTCATTATCTTGTTAAGATTGCTATACACCTAAAGAATTATGCTAATAACAGTCACATCAACCTTTGGTTCAACTTATGATAGACAAATGTAATAATACTGGAGGGACATACTCTTGCTTTATTCTTTTGCATTCATCCTGTACCCTAGAGATAAAATGAAAGGTTTTAATTGAGTGCTTAGGAGGTTGGGTAACCTTACTGGTACAGATTATACTACTTACCAGCTTTGCACTAGAGCTCGACTTACTGATGTTTACAATAAGTATGAGGAAAAATATGGAGCTGTTAGATTGAGGAGGACTGTCCCTCCGAACCTGTCTGGTAAGAAAATGTCTGTTTGGGATGAAATTTATGATGATGATGTTGGTGGTTCTGCCGGTGGTATGCATCCTCTAGCTGCTACTCTAAGCATGGCTAGAGATACCTCTGCAACTGCCTTGCCGCAGGCTGCAACTTCTTCAGCTTCTAATGCTTCCGAACTTGTTTCTTACTTGGACGGTGACACTGTGAACCAGTTAAATGATGATTTTAACATCTTGAACTGGTGGCATCAACACAAACTCACATATCTAGTGCTGCCAATCATGGCTAAAGACATTTTAATTATTCCTATGTCTACCATATCTTTAGAATCTACTTTTAGTATGACTGGCAGGATCATCGAGGAGCGGCGGAGGAGGCTGAAGCCTGAGATGGTGGAGATGCTGACCTGCATCAAAGATTGAGAGGCTGCTGAAGCAAGGCTGCAACACATGGTGAAGGACAAGGAACTTGAAGAAGCATTTGAAGAACTTTATCTTGATTAGTGTCTTAGTGATCATATGTAATAGAACTGTAATATTCTGTACTTGTGAACTTTGATGTAAGGACAATGAACTTCTATGGAGCTGGGCTGTACTCTTTTTTCCTGTCTAGGGCTTCTCACATGGGTGAGTTTTACCTAGACAGGTTTTTAATGAGGCATCCATTGCACTAAAGCTCCTAATAAATTATTATTTTATTATCTATTCCTATGTATTGTATAAGTTTGAGATGATAAAGTTACTGTCCTTAATATTCTGGTCATTTTAAGATGTTAAACACTTATAGTGTCAGTGCCGGCACAGGTACTATGGCTGCCGTGCGCAGTGGCATGGCACGACACGCCTAAGTCATAATAGTGCCGTGCCTAAGCTGCTAAATCGACATGACGGCACTTTCAGACACGGCACGGCTAACATGTCGTGCTGCGTAGTGCCGTGTCTGGCCGTGGACGTGCTAGTGCTAGTGCCGGGCAGCCTCTTTGGCCAACTATTATAGCTAGCAGGTTGGTTCGCCGGGCGGCTGCATGTTGCTGCTGCTCCGCCCCCGACAGAGCTGCATCCTCCTACGCCACAGTAGCGGCTGCGGTTTCCACACAGTGCCCGATGGATCCAGATCCGGCCGCGAATGAATGATGATGTTTGATGTGATGCGTGCACCGATCGTCGACGGAAAACAGTACAGGGCCGTATCAGCGCCGGCCGAACACCTTTGTTTGGGTTGGGATGAAACGCAACACACGTACGAGTACGGTTCGTCCACGGGAACAACTACCGGCGGGCCGCATCATCCAGTGCATACGTGAACCAGCACTACCGGGTTCCGTCGCGAGCAGGGCACTGGGCACCCCATCCCCATGCATGGAACGGAGGGAGGAGCCCGGCCTTTACTCGTGTCCTGCGTGCGGTGGCGTGCAGGCCCGGTACTCCGTACTTACCTAGGCCTTGTTTAGTGGGAGAAATTTGGATTTGGGATACTGTA